GGAAGTTCACACTTTGTTTCTTCTGTCATAGAAACAGTCTTTTATCTTTTTTTTTCATCTTTTCCTTTTTATAACAAAATTCAGCATAATAAGAAAAAATAGGATTAACTTACCCCAAGTTAAAAGACAATTTCAGAATAACTGAAAAATCCTTAACTTGGAAAAATCACTTAACTTTTTATGCTGCTGCTTTCTCTTTACCCCCTACTGGAGTGGATTAAGTTTGGAACTAATTATGGATAGTTTTTTTTTTTTTACATTCACTAACACTTTATTATTTTGACATAAATGGTTTTCTGCACTGGCTAGATTATTTTTGATGGAAAGACTCAGGAAATGATACTTACTCACCTAGAATGGAAAAATAGAGGAAATAGCACTGACCTATTTAAAAACAAAAGTGACAATTTTTCCGACTAGAATATAGAGGATCAGGAAACAACGATTTGTTAAAGCCACTTGACTCTTTAGAGACTGTGTCGCTTTGGTGTCCCAGGCAGGGGCCTGCCTTCACTGAAAGCATTTTGTGCAGCATAGAGGTTGCTTGAACGGGACTAACTCAGAAGGAATGTCAGGTACTTTTGCCTAAAAGTAGATCTTTTTGAGAAGGGATACATTTCAGAAGACCTGGGGGTATATATTTTAAAGATTCTGTGTTATTTTCTCATAAATTTTTAAGCTCCATGTTTATTTATTTATTTTTTAAGATTTATTTATTTGTATTGAAAAGGTGGATATACAGAGAGGAGAGACAGAGAGGAAGGTCTTCCGTCTGATGGTTCACTCCCCAAGTGGCCACAATGGCTGGAGCTGAGCCAGTCCGGAGTCAGGAGCTCTTCCGGGTCTCCCATGTGGGTTCAGGGTCCCAAGGCTTTGGGCCGTGCTCAGCTGCTTTTCCAGGCCACAAGCAGGGAGCTAGATGGGAAGCGGGGCTGTTGGGGTTAGAACGAGTGCCCATCTGGGATCCCAGCACGTGCAAGGCAAGGACTTTAGCCACTAGGCTACCATGCTGGGCCCGAAGCTCCATGTTGAAAGCTGCTATCTGGAAGTTTTTGCGTTGTCACCAGCATGTCTGGCACTGAGCAGTACTGAGACTCTAGAGCTTTAGCTTTAAATATATTTACTTATATTTATTCGAACAATTTTTTTTTTTTAGTTACCTCTGTAAAGATTTTTTGTGATGGTTTTTTGTTTTGACCTATTGAGAGAGAAAGTAGGGGACAGTAGTGACAGAATTTGAAAATTATGTTCAAAATCAGTCTTCTCTAAACCTTGTAGTTATTTTTAGGAAGACTTTTCAGCTCTAAAATCAGTGAAATGGCTTTGATGCCTCTGTCTATATGGGCAATTGTATAAGGAAACAATTGTTTCACATGCAAACTATTTTTAGCCATAGACAAAAGTGTTTTAAGTTGTACCTGTGTTGTGTGATCTTGATTTGAAAGGCACAGAGGTAGGTATCTTCCATTAGCTGGTTCACTTAATCCCCGGAACCCATGCTAGCTGAGGCTCGAGCAGGCCCAAGCCAGGGACTTAAGAACTCAATCTAAATTTCCCAGGTAGGTGGCAGGTCCCAGAAGACTTGCATGGACCGTCATCTGATGTCTCCTAGGGTATCTGGAACTGGAAGCCAAGTCAGGACTCAGATGAGGCATTGGGATACAGGCATCTGAGCAAACACCTACGCCTGTATGTATTTCGGATTTTCTGGGAACCAGTTGTTAAACGAGATTTGGGCATCCTCCACATTTTTCGTAGAGTTCTTACCCCTCACCCCCAGAGATTCATTTATTTGAAAGTCAGAGTTTACAGAAGGTGGCAGGAGGAGGGAGAGCTGCAGCCCAAGTGGTCACACCAAGGCCGGGAACCTGGAGCTGTCGGAGAATTCCGACACGACGCGGGTGGTAGGACACCAGTCGCTGGGCGGTCGGCTGCTGCTTTTTCAGGGCATTAGTGCGAAGCTGGGTCAGATGCAGAGCAGCCAGGACTGGACCCGGCACTTGACATGGTGATGTTGCAGGAGGCAGCTCCAACTATTGCCAGGAGCTTCCCCTGGGACTCTGCGTGGGTGCAGGGTCCCCAGGCTTTGGGCTATCCTCCTGTTTTCCCAGGCCACAAGCAGGGAATCTGGGCCGCTGGGACACAAACCTGCACCCATGTGAATACTGGCACGTGTAAAGCAAGAACTTCAGCCACCAGGCTACCACGCAGGGCCCCAGAAATGCTTCTGATGCTTTGTGTCCAGGTGCTTCTGAATCATGATTCTGGAGTGTGACTTTTGGAGACTCAGAAAAAGTCAGGCTTACAGCTGTACATGCCTGCCAGCTAGTCAGCTGCAGATCACTGCTTATCCGCTGCAGCTTTATCAAAGTGAACTGAATAGCCCTCAAGTCGTGTTTGGAAGTTAAGTGAGCTCATATGATCCTTAGCTTTAGAAGACAATGTGTACATAGTGGAAGGCAGAGAAACAGGTTTTGTGGTCGCCGGTTTACTCCCCCAGTGCGTGCAGCAGTCAGCGTTAGCAGAGAAGGAAAGCAGGAGTCGGATTCGGTGTCTGAATTTTTGCCTTAATGTGAAGAAGTGATCGAAATGACGTGGCAATGCAGCCCTGGAGGGTTGAACTGGTAACGCTGGCTGACTGCGTACGCGTTAAGTCTCCGTGGGGTCAGCGTTGTCCAGCACACCAAGCATAACTGGCTCTGTTCCCTGGTCTGGCTTTGTTCAGTAGATACTCCTAACAGCGGGGTTCACAGTGTGTAGACTGGTAAGTTTGATGAAAAAGTTGGACTCTAGAATCTGTTTTCTGTTTTGGAATAATATTTTTTTTGAGATTTGAGAGAAGGCCAAATCGTTTGACCTTGTGTGTATTTGGTATGTGAACAATCACTTAGAATGCCACTAATAATTACATAAAATTTATTAATGCTTAATTTATTTTGATAACAAATGAAATAGGTTACCTCTTGCGTTGTTTTCTTTCCTTGGGTTTTCATATATGTACCTGAGAGACAGTGAGAGATGGAGGGGCTGGGAGAGCGAGCTTCTGAGCCCGCATGGCAGCAGCGCTGGGACTGCCCTGGGCCAAGGCAGAAGTCCTCGATACCGTCCAGGGGCGCCCATGGGTGATGGAACACCATCATCACTGCTTCCCTGGGTGTGCAGTGACAGGAACCCACAGGGGGCATCTTACCAGTGAGGCTCAAGGGCCTGCCCCTGTGCCTCGTGGTGTTGGTAAAGATGTGTGTGCATCTGAAAGGCAGAGCTACTTCCTATTTTGAAAAACATGTCAAATGGGCGGCAACCGTCTTTTTCTAGCTATTGTGCTAGGGCTGCTAATGAAACTGAATTGGAATTGTGGGGGGAGGGAACAAAAGCAGCAGCAGCAGCAAGGCAGAGGAACAGAAAGGGAGGTAGGGAGAGAAATGGGCAGAGCCAGAGAGAGACAGAGATCCTCATCGCTGGCTAACCCACCAGCACTGGAGCCCAAGTGAGGCAGTTACTTTTTTCAGGTCTTCCACATGGGTATAGAGGCCTCGTCACTTGGGCTGCCCTCCATGGTTTTCCCGAACACATCAGCAGAGAGCTGGATTGGAGGTGGAACAGCTGGCACTCCGACCAGCACCCATATGTCGTGTGTGATGCCAGTGTCACAAGTGGTGGCTTTACCCACCGTGTCACGACCCCAGTCCTGTGCTGCCTTAAACATGCTTCAGGCTGGATTGCAGACACGCTCCAGCGCAGCCAGTCCTTGGAGATTACTGGGCATCCTGCAGGTGATAATGTTCTACTCTTCTCAGAATTGAAGTATCAGGAAGGGGTGTTTGGCCCATGGCTAATTGATGGGCTCCCTGAATGTTTCTGATTTCTCTGTTGCCAAGTTCCTCTTTTCTGGTAAGAACCTTAGTCACAGATCTGATCTGTGCTTAAAAAAAAATAAGTAAATATGTGTGTGTGTAGCATGTTCAGTATAGTTCATAGATATTCCTTTTTTTCTTTGTAATATTTATTTGTTTATATTACAAAGTCAAATATACAGAGATGAGGAGAGACAGAGAGGAAGATCTTCCGTCCGATGATTCACTCCCCAAGTGAGCGCAACGGCCGGTTTGAAGCTGGAAACCATGAACCTCCTCCAGGTCTCCCATGCGGGTGCAAGGTCCCAAGGCTTTGGGCCGTCCTCGACTGCCCTTCCAGGCCACAGGCAGGGAGCTGGATGGGAAGTGGAGCTGCTGGGATTAGAACCGGCGCCCATAAGGGATCCCAGCACGTTCAAGGCAAGGACTTTAGCTGCTAGGCCACGGCAATGGGTCCCATAGATATAATTCTAACAACATAATATTTTTCTCCCTTCCTCCCCTTTCTCTCTCCTTCTCCCCTTTGTATGCTTTTTTTTTTTAAGATTTGTTTATTTCTATTGCAAAGTCAGATATATAGAGAGGAGGAGAGACAGAGAGGAAGATCTTCGGTGCGACAATTCACTCCACAAGTTACTGCATCAGCCGGAGCTGAGCCAAATCCAAACAAGGAGCCTGAAGCTTCTTGTGGGTCTCCCACACAGATGCAGGGTCCCAAGGCTTTGGACTATCTTCAGCTGCCTTCCCAGGCCACAAGCAGGGAGCTGGATGGGAAGTGGAGCAGCTGGGACTGGAACGGAGACCATGTGGGTCTTGGTACCACAGGCGGGTGATTAGCATGCAGCGCCACCTTGCTCGCCTTCTGTGGGTGCTTCTTACAAAATATTTGTTTTCACTAAAGTGTCTTTTCACTGTGGTTTTGAAGTCTTACTAACAAAAATGTCATTAAGAATTTTCTGGTTCTGGTAAATATCTTTTAGTTGTTTCCTGAAAACTAATTATTTTTAAGGTTATCGACTCCAGTGGAAGAATTACCCTTTCCACATGTAAGGATTCAGTCATACCAAGAAACAGAGCGCTGGCTCTGTTTGAACTTGTGTGTTCTTTCTCATTATTCTTTTTCTCTTTTCTTCTTTGCAGAATCCTATTCTAAGAACCCGGACACTCAGGTTCCTACCATGGTGCTGGGTCCTGAACAGAACATGCCGGATGGTAACTTAGCACTGTGTATTATTGGCTTGGTTTTTATGTGGAATTTAGTTTGAGCAACAGAAACTGACTGTATTTTTCTTCTTGTCTGTTCTGACAATGCCATTCAGAAGTCGGCACCCGAGAAGGAGTGCATGAGCACAGAGGTCTTCCCCATGCCCTGGTTGGGGGTCCAGCCAGGATGAGCTACAGCTTGCCTTTTATTGCAGTCATAGCTGCGAGGAAGGCTCCTAGGGACCTAGGCGGTGCTAAGGACCGTTGGTGGCAGGGCTGCTCTTACAGCTCAGGAATGTTGGGAACAGTGACACACTGGGCGAACATGTTACGCTGTGTATCTTATTGGCACTATCTGAGTGCTTTGACTAATCTTTCCTAAATGTGAGCTTTCACTCTGGAACTTTCATTTCTTGTTTATACACTCTGTCAATTAAGAGCCACTTCATTAGGGTGCTTGAGTCAGCTTTCTTTTAATATTTATTTATTTATTGGAAGGTCAGATATACAGAGAGGAGGAGAGACAGAGAGGAAGATCTTCTGTCCACTGATTCTCTCCCCAAGTGGCCACAATGGTCTGAGCTGAGCCAGCCAGGAGCTTCTTCCCGGTCTCCCACACAGGTGCAGGGTCCCAAGGCTTTGGCCCATCCTCCACTGCCTTCCCAGGCCACAAGCAGGGAGCTGGGTGGGAAGTGGAGCTGCCAGGACATGAACTGGTGCCCATATGGGATTCAGTACATGCAGGGCGAGGACTTTAGCCGCTAGGCTAGCATACTGGGCCCAGGAATGTTATGTTTTTATACTCTGCCTGTCAATGTTCTTAGAGGAGAATGAAATAATTGTCAAAACTACCGAGTAGAAGTAGGGGTGTGGAAGTGGGAAGAGCAGTGTTGCATGAGAGTTAAAGGGGGTCCTGAGCTGAGTGTCTAGGGGAGAGGACAGGAGGGGCCTGTTCACTGCAAGTTGTTTTGTGTTTTAATTTTTTACAATGTAAATATATTTCCCATTGAATTACATTTATTTTAAAATATAGATAAATATAAATATTAAAAGCAAATTGAGCTAGCATCAGGTTGATCTCTTGTGTGTTAGGTTAAGAATATTTGATTTTAATATTAGGAATGATTGCATAATTCTTTTTAATAACTTTTTTCAAACTTGTGAATTCAGATAATGCATCTGGAGATCATGGGGACTCTGCCAGCCTTGGTGTCATCAATGCTGCCTACAGCCACTCGTCCCTTCCGCAGTCCACTGCAGAGGCGGGGGAGCCCTTCAGCACCTACTTTGATGAGAAGATCCCCATCCCTGAGGAGCAGGTTGGTGACAGGTCCCTGGATGGCACAGCGCGGGCGGGGAAAGCCTGGGGGTGCGAGGGCTGCAGCTGGAAGGGGCAGGTCTGATTTTGTCAGGTCGTCTTTGAAGATGGGTATTTTATAGTCAGAATAAAGAGAGTTCCGAAACAGTTGCTCAGAGGCACTATTGAACAATTTTTTGATGGGAAAAGTGTAAATTTAATGTTTCTATTATTTGTTATCTAAAAGTTGTATTTATTTGAGAGACAGAATAGGTCAGAGAAAAGCTGTCATCTGAATGCCACCATGGGTGAGTCTGGGTCAGGGCTGGAGCTGCAGCCCATGTCCCTGTGGGAGGAGGCGCCCCAGGAGCTGCTGTCCCCGGCGCCTCTGGCGGTAAAGCAGCACCAAGCGTGATCAGGAGCCGGAGGTAGGCTTCTTACTGATGAGAGGATACAGACAGGTATGCCAAAGACCTGCTTAGCCTTTTCCTCTTTTAAAGTTTACTTTTTCCCTGTTTTTAGTACTGTTGGGTTCAGAGGTGCTGATTTTTTGTTTTTGAAGTTCAAGCATTTTTATTTTAAAGATTTTATTTTTATTTGAAAGGTAGATTTACAGAGAGAAGGAGAAACAGAGAAAAAGATTTTCTGTCCACTGGTTCACTCCCCAAGTGACCACAATGCCCAGAGAGGAACCAGTCTGAAGCCAGGAACCAGGAACTTCTGTGTCCACCACGTGGGTGCAGGGTCCCAAGGCTTTGGGCCATCCTCGACTGCTTTCCCAGGCCACAAGCAGGGAGCTGGATAGGAAGCAGAGCAGCCGGAACACTAACCAGTGCCCGTGTGGGATACTGGTGTTTGCAGGGCGAGGATTTAGCCACTAAGATTTAGCCAGGCCCTGAGGCATTTTTTATTTATTAAAAAAGGTTCGAACTTTATAATTTAACTTTTTATTTGTTTAAAAGACATCCGAAGTTTGGAGGGAGGGAATCCCAGGCTACACGAAACTGTACCGCATAATTCCAAATTTAAAATGAAAAATATTAAAATAAATAAATAAAAGGCACAGGAAAAGAAGTGCTTGCAAGAAGCAAATCTGTGCCAGGACTAAACCAGGGCCCTGGAACCCAAGTGTGTGTTCCAGCACAGACGAGCAACCCTCGGCTTGAGCCGTTACTCTGCTGACATCTCCCTGGTGAGTGGCAGGAAGCTGGCAGCAGCAGAGCTGTTACTCACACACAGCTCGGAAATGTGACAAGGGCTCAAATACTTGCCCCAGTAATGGTTGTTACTCTGTTTTATTTTGTTTGTCCATTTTACCATTTATAGATTTTATTTTTATTTGAAAGGCAGAGTTACAAAAAGGAGAGGCATTCACAAAGTGCTCTTCCATCTGCTGGTTAACACTGTAAATGGCTGCAGTGGCCAGAGCTAAGTCGATCCAGTCCAAAGCCAGGGACCAAGAGATTCTTCTGGGCCTCCCGTGTGGGTTCAGGGGCCCAAGCACTTGGGCCATCTGCTGTTGCTTTCCCAGGCCATAAGCAGGGAGCTGGATCAGAACTGGAGTTGCTGGGGCTCAAATTGGCACCCACGTGGGATGAAGGTACCACAGGTTGAGGATTAGCTTACTGTGCCATGGTGCCAGCTCCTGTTATTACTCTGCTGATAGAATGAGATGCCAATAGAGCAGATACTGAGATGTGGCCAACTTAGTGATAAAAAGTGAATAAATTTTAGGAGACACTCAGGTACACATGAGATCAAATCCTAAATCCTTAGTTCTTGTGAAGGGGATACTTTGTGCAGTAGTGCAGTAACAGCTGAGTCGGCTCACCCGTGGAGGCTGCTCATCGTTTTGCTCTTTCCTGCTTTGTTCAGCACTCTTGTTTTAGCTTTCGTAAACTCTGGGCTTTCACTGGACCAGGATTCCTCATGAGCATTGCCTACTTGGACCCAGGAAACATTGAATCTGATTTGCAGTCTGGAGCAGTGGCCGGATTTAAGGTGAGCTTCTAGTCTTGGCTCTGCTTCCTCCCCCGTCCCCTTTTAAGATTTGTAGGAATTTGAGAGGCAAAGAGGGACAGACACAGAAAGCTCCCGTTTGCTGCTTCACTACCAAATGCCTGCAGAAGCTGGGGACTGCCTGCGTCAGGTGGGTGGGAGAGACTCGGCTGTGTGAGCTGTGACCTGCTGCTCCTGGCGTGAGCTCAGCAGGGATGCAGCGCTGGGAGGAGCTGAGACTTGGACCCGGACTTTCCAGTGTGCAGTGTGGCATCTTAGCCAGCGTCCTGACGCCCGGGCCAGAATGCCTGTCCTCTTTACCCTTTTTTTTTTTTAAATGAAGAAAATATTTCTAATGTTTGTTTATGTTTATTTGAGAGACAGAGTGATAAAGTGGGAGGAACAGGGTATGATATCTGCCATCTACTGATCTCAGCAGCCTGTGTGGGCCAGATTGACGCCAGGAGCCAGGAGCTCCATCCTAGTTTCCCATATGTTGGTCCGTATCATCTCTTGCCTCCTGAAAGAAAAAGTGACAGGGATGGGGTGGGCGGTGCGTGACCACAGTGGCGGGGCTGAGCCTAATGATCTAGAGTTCCATCTGGGATTCCCAGACGGGTGACAGGAATTCAAGCACTTGGGCCATTCTCTGATTTCCTGTCCATATTAACAGGGAGCTGGAATCTGAGAAGCTAGAGCTTGAACTGCATTTTGACGTGGTATGCTTGCATTGCAAGGGGAGGCTTAACTTCCTGCAGCGGTGCTGGCTCCCACTATTTCCCCCTTCAGGCACACAGTATACACTCTCACCTCCTTCGTGTGCTCTGCCTCTTAGATAGCAGATTCAGGGGCTACATGCAGAAGCTTTATTGGCAGGGACAGCTATGTGGAAAGTCTTTTCTCCACACAGTGTCCTTGACTGTGCAGCAGCTGCAGATGGGAGGAGCGGGCTCAGGAGCATCGTAGGTACCTGGCAGGTCCTAGGCAGAGCCCCGTATAGAACTCAAAGGAACTGGAATCTCTCCTAAATGCAACTTCCCTGCTCACTTAGCGACACAACCAGACTGGTCCATATCTAATGAGTTTTGTGTGGGGTTCTGTCTTCTAGTTGCTCTGGGTCCTTCTGTTGGCTACCATCGCGGGACTCCTGCTTCAGCGCCTTGCAGCTAGGCTGGGCGTGGTAACTGGACTGCATCTGGCTGAAGTGTGTCACCGGCACTACCCCAAGGTCAGCAGTGGACTGTCCTGTTTGTCTCTCACCCACATCAGATGAACCAGTGGGTCTGAAAATATGAGATACCAGGTCTGCCCATCAGACATGGGTGGAGGATCTGAGGGTCAAGGGTCCTGATGAATGCAGAATTCTACAGTCCCTCTTGCTGCCCAGCTATGTTTCTCTGCTTGAAATCTAACCTGAGATTCTCTTCTGCTTGAGTAAATATTTATCATTTGCCTTACCTTCTGGCATCTAGCCATGCCCAGCCCCAGGGTTGGAAGTGATCCCATCTCCAAGTCCTTTTCATTCATACTTCCTGAGTTACTTCGTCAGTTTGTATTGTACTTAACATCAGTTTATATTGTACTTAACGTTTCTTATTTAACTTTGCTGTCACTTTAAAAACATTTTCCCCTTGACTACAAACTATGTATGTACTAAGGTGTTTGGATTTGCTAATAATTATTTTTTCCTTTACTCTGGTCCTGGAAATTTAAAAAATTTACACTGTCCTCTGTAGCTTCCTTCTGGATGTCTTTGACTGTTCCCACTAGAAGCAGACATAAACTCTTTGTCTGGAAGACATTCTTTTTGTTAAGATTTATTTATCTTTATCTGAGAAGTAGATTTTACAGAAAGAAGGAAAAGGGGAGGGGTGGGAGATCTTCCTTCTTCTGGTTCACTCTCCAAATGGCCACAATGGCCAGAGCTGAGCTGATCTGAAACTGGGAGCCAGGAGCTTCCTCCTAGTCTCCCACAAGGGTACACAGTCCCATCTGCTCTGCTGTCTCCTCAGGCCACAAGCAGGGAGCTGGGTAGGTGGTAGAGTGGCCGGACCCGAGCTGGTGCCCATATGGGGATGCCAACACCACAGGGTGGACGATTACCGTGCTGTGTCACCACACCAGCCCCCTGGCAGAATTTTTAACTTGGCTTCATCTTTAGACCAGATACTGATTTATCTCTGGTTTGTCTTAATTTTTTTGCCCAAAGGTTGGTTTATTTACTTGTTTGGATGGCAGATTTAAAAGCTGAGTCATCTTTGCTAACCCATCGCCTAGAAGGCTACAACAGCCAGGGCTGCGTCGGGCCAAGCCAGCAGCCACGAGCTGCTTCCAGATCTCCTCTTAGGTGCAGTCGTACTGCTTTCCCATGTGCAGTAGCAGGGAGCTGGATCAGAAGTGGAACACCCATCAGGGGTGCCAGCATTGCAAGTGTCGGCTTTACTTGCTGTGCTATAATGCTGGACCCTGTCATAAAATTTTTATCTGCTCTCCTGGGTGTGAGCAGGAAGTATCCTTATGTACTCTTTAAATCCCTTCGTAATACATAATTTCTTCTAACTTCCCTTTCTTTGTGTAAGGGAAGCCTTTTTTGTTTGAAGAAAGGGTTTGATATTTGGGGATTGGTGATTGGTAGAGAGGGGCAGGTTTTGTTTCTGCTTTAGTGAGCCAGCATTGTCTAAAATTGTCTTCCGGCTGCATAGTTTCCTACTTACTATATGGCGCATATGTCCGGCTGCTTTGCCCTGAGTCCTTTTGCTTATCTGTCCTTTTTCACTTGCGTGCGCAGTATTATTACAGTCCAGATGCCTTGGCCTTTGCATGCGTGTCTGCTTGCCTTTTTAGCCATGCTCAGGGTAGATGCTTTCTTCTGCAGTCATTTTTTCTGTGCATCCCTGTTTTGGCCATGTCAGCTTGCTTATGCTCCCTTTAAACCTTTTTTTTTTTAAGGTTTATTTATTTTTATTGGACAGGTGGATTTACAGAGAGGAGAGACAGAAAGATCTTCTATTCCCTGGTTCACTCCCCAAGTTGCCACAATGGCCAGAGCTGAGCCAATCTGAAGCCAGGAACCAGGAGCCTCTTCTGGGTCTCCCACGTGGGTGCAGGGTCCCAAGGATTAGGGCCGTCTTTGACTGCTTTCCCAGGCCACAAGCAAGGAGCTGGATGGGAAGTGGGGCTTCCGGGATAGAACTGGCGCCCATATTGGATCCCGGTGCATTCAAGGCAAGGACTTTAGCCACTAGGCTACGCTGCTAGGCCCTCAAACTTTAAAAATTGCTTTAAGGTAGGGAGTGAAGTTAAAATTAGTGAGTGGAAATTCCATTTCTCACTTGAGTGTAAAGGAAAGGGAACCACAGGTAAGGCTAGTTGCTGTCCTGGCCTTGGCTCCTAGCCTCTCCCGTGTGCATACACTTCCATCTGGAGGCCCCGGGGCAAGGCTGGACCAAGGTGGGACTGAGTTCTCATGCTTCATTTCTAGTCTTGAAGCTTGTATAAGACTGCTTATGAATCGGTGACAAGATAGGAATTCCAAACTACACAGGAAGTCCTTGAAGGTTGTTAATCTGAGACTTGTTTTAGGTCCCACGAATCATCCTGTGGCTGATGGTGGAGTTGGCCATCATTGGCTCAGACATGCAAGAAGTCATTGGCTCCGCCATTGCCATCAACCTCTTGTCTATAGGAAGGTGAGGAGATTTCCCCTCCGGAAGTAGTCAGTGTTATTCTGAATTTCAAGGCAAACATGAAAAAGAAAAAACTCATTTTTGCTACTCAAGATTTAACTCAGGTATTGGGTTTTTTTGTGGAACATTTCAGAAAGCACCCTCCTTTCCCTGGTCAGATATGAACTGTGCATGTTCCATTTGTTCCCACATGTGGGCTATACATATCTCTGTTGTAGAGTTTATGGCAATTTTTATTCTTTTTCTGTGTCAGTTTATCCCACTACACAATGAACTGCTTGAAGGTATGATCCATACTTTTTGACTTTGTACCATTTTTTTTTTAAGATCTATTTATTTTTGTTGTAACAGCAGGTTCACAGAAAGATCTTCCATCTGCTGGTTTATTCCCTAAATGTTTACAGCAACAGGAGTTGAGCCGACACGAACCAGGAGCTTCTTCTGGGTCTCCCATATGGCTGCAGGGTCCCAAGGCTTTAGGCCATTCTCCACTGCATTCCTAGGCCATAAGCAGGGAATGGGATGGGAAGTGGAGCAGCCAGGACACAAACCGGTGCCCAAATGGGATCCTGGTACTTACAAGGGGAGGATTAGCCAATTGAGCCATCACGCTGGGCCTCAGTTTTGTATCCTAAAAGTTGGACATGGGAGATTCTGAGTGAATGTAATTCAGTCGGTGCTGTGGTGCTCCATCATCCAAGTCCTGACTTCCTGCCATATTCCCTACTTCCCTAAGTTCTAGCTTCTCCAAATGTTCCTTGTCCATTGAACTTTGGGGAAGAAGTTGGTTTTTAATGTTTCCTTTAACTTGCACTTGTTATTTCTGACCTAGGGTTCCTCTATGGGGTGGAGTTCTCATTACCATCGCAGACACCTTTGTGTTTCTCTTTCTGGACAAATATGGTAAGCAAGACAGGGTCGGCGGGGTCAGTCCCCGCAGCTGCTCTCCATCCTGCGGCAGAGGGGCAGCCGCTCACTCTCTCACATTTTCCCTTTAGGCCTGCGGAAACTAGAAGCATTTTTTGGCTTTCTTATCACTCTTATGGCACTCACATTTGGATATGAGGCAAGTGTTATAGGCTATATTTATTAGTTTATAAAAACTAGGGTACTTTTTATTTATTTTTTAGCCTTTCATTATAAAGAACAGGATGGCTTAATTGTGTTTCAAGTTGTCAGCAAAAACTCATTGTGTCCTGGGCCAGTGCTGAAGAAATCTGATCTGTGGTCTGGATTAGGAGCGCCTAGCTGAGATAGTTCTACCCTTTCTAGAATTTTCCAAATGCGACCCCCTAAGCTTGTTAAGATCCTGACAACAGCACAACCTTGGAGAGGATTAGTGAGGTTGCTGCAGAGTTATTCTCGGTTCTTAATGTAAAATGGTTTTACTCATTCTGGTTTATGTCACTTGTTGCTTGAATTTTCCTTGTATTAAAGTAAGTGAAATATGGGGCATATACCAGATACTTCCTGCTTTATGCAGTAACTCCCACTCTGTTTGGAAGCAGTCCTGTTATTGTCAGTATTAGTACCTTTCTGGGTTTAGTTACTTTTTTCTGTTCAACAGCCTTGTGCCTTGACTCGCATCAAGGCTTCCACATGAAATGCTGAGCAAGGAACAGGGTGTAGGAGAAGTGTTTATGGAAAGTCTCTCACTACACCCAGTGACCGGCATTTGTGGTCTTTGTGTGAGGATAGGTGAATATGAGAATGTTAAGTGTGGATAGTCGAGGCTTGATTCCATTTCCTGAGGGTTACCTGCAGGCCGTTAGTGTAAGGCTAGTAACCATAACTCTTCGGCTGTTTTACAAGGGGAATTCAAGAGGCTTGTAGAAAATGAAATAAAAAATTTGGGGGGAGGGGTGAAAAAAGTTTTGAAATTTGCAAATGAAAAGTGGAATAGCTGAGACTTGAACTGGCCTCCCAATGGGATGTTGAGTCTGCAGTTGAATCCTCTGTGCCTTGGCACTGGTCCCCCAATGTATCTTTTAATTACGTCTTTTTCTGCAGACTTTTTGAAAAACCTCTGTATTTTTTTGGTAAAACAGACCTATTTGGGATATGTGTAAGAGGATAGGAGATATTTGACTACTCTAGTCCTGAACTCCAATCCCTGGGAATAATCCCGTCATGTTGCTTGGTTTATTGATGATTCTGTGATTTTCATTACCAGGGTGTTGGTGTTTTTGTAGGTGTTACAGAAGAAGGAATGATAAGGCGTAAAGGATGTTGAATGTTTCTCTGTTGGTCACATCCCAGGAGAGACTAACCGTTGCTCTGTTGTTCTGTAGTATATTACAGTGAGACCCAGCCAGAGCCAGGTGCTCAGGGGCATGTTCGTTCCGTCGTGTTCGGGCTGCCGCACACCGCAGATCGAGCAGGCTGTGGGCATCGTGGGAGCTGTCATCATGCCACACAACATGTACTTGCATTCTGCTTTAGTGAAGGTGAGCAAGGCCTGTACCTCAGTGGCTTCCTGGTGAATTCATGGGATCTGACACTTTACAGAGGATGCAGACTTAGGGTGCAACCATTAGAGCCGCAAAGGAGCAAGCCATATCCAGGCTAGACCTTTGTAAACTCTACACTCTTTGATTCTGTTTTTAATTACCAAATTGATGAGAGATTACTGACCCCTCAGAAGCCAAGACTGAAGTTTTTCACAAAAAGCTTGAAAGGCACCAAGTTGCATATAAATTTCAATGTAAAAGTCCATTAACCTTGGGGAGGGTGAGAGTGAAGGATGTTGACCAGTTCTTAACCCATTTGTTTTCTTTATTTGAAACTATTTATTTAATCGAAAGGCATAGAGACATGGATCTTCCACCTGGTGGTTCACTCCCCAGATGTCCACAGCAGCTACGGCTGAGCCAGGCTGAGCCGGGAGCCCAGCACTCCAGCCCTCTTATTTGAGGGCAGGAACTTGAGTATGTGCTGTCTCCCAGAATGCATAATAGCAAGAAGCTACCTAAGAGGCGGAGTTGAGGCTAGAACCTAGGGCCTCCAGGATCAGATGTTTGTGTTCCAAGTGGCATTTTGGTTTCTGTGTGAAACCCTTGCCCCTTCCAGGTAGTTGTTTTTTGGCTTTTTGATTTTTTTTTTTTAATATTTATTTTTATTGGAAAGTCAGATTTACAGAGAGAAAGAGAAACAGAGAAAAAGATTTTCCATTTGCTGGTTTACTCCCCAAGTAGCTGGCCAGAGCTGAGCCAATCTCAAGCCAGGAACTTTTTTCGGGTCTCCTACACAGATGCAGGGTCCCAAATCTTTGGGACCATCCTCTACTGCTTTCCCAGGCCATAAGCAGGGAGCTGGAAGAGAAGTGGAGCAGCCAGGACATGAACTGATGCCTATATGGAATCTTGGCAAGTGCAAGGCAAAAGGACTTTAGTCACTAGGCTACTGTGCTGGTCCCCCAGTTATTCTAGCATAGTATTTTCTTAAGGATTTCAGGGACCTCCATTATGAGTAGGGATATGCAGTGCTTAAGGTCAGGGTTTTTTGCAGGTCCGTGAGACCACTGCAGCCATAACAGTTGAGAGGTCAGATCTAGTCCTGGCACTGTTCTCTGTTTAGGGCGTGTCAGGGCTGTCAGAGGACATGAAGTCCTTACATGCTGGATGAAGTAGGTGTGTTGCATATCTCACTTTTCATCTGGTCAGTTATTTGCACTCTGAACTTCTCAGCTGACTTGGAATTCCTGAGATATTACAGCAAAGTTTGTTACAATCCAACTGGTCACGAAATGCTGCTATTATCTCTCTAGTCTAGGCAGGTGAACCGGGCCAGTAAGCAAGAAGTTCGAGAAGCCAATAAGTACTTTTTCATTGAATCCTGCGTTGCTCTCTTTGTTTCCTTCATCATCAATGTTTTTGTCGTCTCAGTCTTTGCTGAAGCATTTTTTGAGAAGACCAACGAGCAAGTGGTAAGTAAAGCAGGGTCATGGGTGGTGGTGGTGTGAGGGTCAGATGAAGGTGGGTGAGCAAGGAAAATGCGACAAGGACAGGAACCCAGGGGACGTGAACCTGTAGCTCCCTGCGCCGTCACTGTACAGTCAGTCTTGGTGGTCTGGGGTCTGACCAAGCTGGGCCCGCCTTCTGCAGCTTTGGCTCATGAGCGAACTGGCCTCAGCTCTGAGTCATACTGTGGTGTTGGTGGCCACACATCTGACACTTTATCATCATTTTTTGTTCCTTCTGTGTTAACTTCTGCCTGTTGGCCTGGCACTCCTCTCATGGGACAGTGGCAGGTTGGGAGGGCTCAGCAAATAGAAAACACGAACAGATTTTGTATCCTGCAAGCTCTTGTTGTAGGTGACCTGCCATTTGTTGTCTTGCTCAGAAACCTTTGACCTCTGACCCTGCTTTGACAAGGTCTCCGTATTGTGTCATATTGGAGAACTTGTCAAGCGCCTCTGTTGCTGTCACTTTCCAGGCTCTCCCATGTGTATGTATTCTAACTGGGAAAAGCTTGGACAATTGCAGTGAAAAGCCTCTGGAGGCAGATGGCAGTTAGGTTCCTTTCCCTCTCGGCCACAGCACAGGCTTCATCAACACTTTCCCTGCAGCCTTCCTCTCATCAGGAACTGCGTGTGCTCTGTAGGAGGGCTCTAGTTTGGGGGATCTTGCCTCAGGCACAATTCTCCTAAACTGCTTTGGGTTTTAGGTTGATGTGTGTAGAAATAGCAGCAGTCCCTACTCTGGCCTCTTCCCTGAAGATAACGCGACACTGGCCGTGGACATCTACAAAGGGGTAAGCATGTTGACATGTATGGTGTCTCCTCCTGAATTGCCGTCCTTAGGGTGCTGCTTGCTCTGCACTGTGAGTTCACCTTGGGTAGGAGCATGTCTCCTCTGGAGCGGCCCTCATTTCCCAAGGCCTGGTGGCAGTCAAGCATGTCGTAATTTGTGGGGAAGGAGCAGAGGCTCACTTGGGAAGGTGGTTTGTACATCAGACCGCCCAAACTCTGCAAGTTGTTGACTGAGGTGCATATAGTGTGTTCTCAGTGAAGTGTCCTTCAGTGGAATGCTGGTTTCACTGTATCCCTAGGACAGTAAAATATATAACCTGTATTTCCAAAGCTTATCTGACCTTTCCCTGTACTTATACCACCATTCTCTAGAAGAGATTGTTAAGGTGTATGATTTCATAAAAATAGTATCAGACTCTCATTTTAAAATATTTCAGTTCCAAGTTGGAGGTGGAGACATTTGTGGGTTGGAAAAGAAACAGGGTAAGGCTGAGGAATAAGGGGGCATGTCAAGGAGTTAGATCGTGAGCCTCCAGAATGAGGTCAGCTCTGGCGTCGGGGCTTAGTCCCGCAAAGAACGGACTAGAGTGGTGCTGAGTAGAGGAGTGGGAGGGGTGTTGGGTGAGCTGAGCATCAATGCAGATGGTACCTTTCTCCCTTGCCTCTCGCAGGGTGTCGTGCTGGGCTGCTACTTTGGGCCTGCTGCTCTGTACATCTGGGCTGTGGGGATCCTGGCTGCAGGACAGAGCTCCACCATGACTGGAACTTATTCTGGTCAGTTTGTCATGGAGGTAGGTGCTGGGTTAGAATAGAAGGTACTGCTGCTGCCGTTTTTGAAATTGTTACTTAATTTATTTATTTAACAAATAGAATGGAAAAGAGAGACTATTGGTTTTCTCATCTGTTGTTTCACTCACCCTGATGCCAATAACAGATATGGCTGGGCCAGGCTAAAACCACAATGAGGCACTTAATGCAGGTCTTTCATCTGAGTGGCAGGGACCCAACCCACTGTGCCATCACTTCCCTCCGAGGGTGTTCTGCAGAACACTGGAATCTGGAGTAGAGCCGTGAACCCAGATGCTCTGACTGGGGACACAAGTACTCCCAGCCGTGCCTTGCTGATGTGCCCATCTCTGCCCTGGAGGAGACCTCGTACTTTGTACCTGCTGCAGAGGGTCTGTGTGGAGCCCGCCCAGATCTTCATCCTGCTCCTGTGCTTTCTTGCAGGGATTTCTGAATCTCAAATGGTCACGTTTTGCCCGAGTGATTCTGACACGCTCCATTGCTATCATCCCGACTCTGCTTGTTGCTGTCTTCCAAGATGTAGAACATTTAACGGGGATGAATGACTTCCTGAATGTTCTGCAGAGCCTGCAGGTAACAAGGGAGCTGGCGCCAGACCTGGTGCCAGTGCTAGGGGGAAATTAGCAGACGTTAACAGTCTTAGAGTCCACAGGATCCAAAGACCTTTTTAAAGATATATATGTATTATATATATATATATATTAAGCTTATTGTGTGGAAATATTGAGCTATAGTTGCATATAGAACAGACTTGTAGTCCACTCACCTGGCAAACATGATTTGAAGATGTAAGACCCTGTACTGGGTCCTGTGAAGGTAGCTGAGACAAGTCAGCTGTAAATGATTGCAGACCATGAGTGCAGAGCTAATGGCAGCTGTGCATATTTCAGCCTGATCCTTGAGCATGTGGGGATGAGGGGAGTGGTTACTTCTCATGCAGTAGACAAGCCAGGTTTATGTTCCCCTTCTGTTAACTGTGCTGTACTCTCGGGTTGATACAAGGTCCCCTAGAAGCCCCATCGGATTTTATTCTTTCTTTTCCAGCTTCCTTTTGCTCTCATACCCATCCTTACATTCACGAGCTTGCGTCCTGTCATGAATGACTTTGCCAATGGAATGTGAGTGCACTTATTTCCCCAAAGGGGTGCCACGTGAGGGAAGGGTATTTTCATCCCAAAGTCTAGTTTGAAATGAGTCATATTGGGAAACTGTGTGCTGTGGGAGGGAGTTGCAAGCTGCTTCCTCTTTGTTCTACATGTTGGAGGCCCACCGTAGCAGAGGAAGACAAAGCACGCCACCGAGATTGTAGATCAATGCTTCAGCCTCAGCCGTAGATATTTGAAACACTTGAAATTCTGTGTTAAATGATCTTAACCATAAACGTATAAGCTAGTAACTTTATGTGTATCCTTTCAAGGATATAGTATTTGAAATGAGTATTTTTAGGTTCCCGAATGAAATAATTATTTATATGACTGATCGCATTTCAGGGACTTCAATATTAGGGGAGATCTGATGGTGTTTCTTCTGCTGCTCATGATTGCCTAGATTTGACTCGTTGAATATAGTCCTGAACAAAGTGGGGCCATTTTACAGTGCACTGTGAACTTCCTGTGAAGTCTGTGCCACTTCCCAAGAGGATGCTGTCTGCTGTCCATGTGTGAGAGGCCGGGCTGTCCTGGCAGTGACTGCGTTGGCTCTTTTTCAGAGGCTGGCGGATTGCAGGAGCAATCTTGGTGCTGATCGTCTGTTCCATCAACATGTACTTTGTGGTGGTGTATGTCCAGGAACTAGGCCATGTGGCGTTGTATGTGGTGGCTGCTGTGGTCAGTGTGGCATATCTGGGCTTTGTGTTCTACTTGGTAAGTTCTTTGTGGAGGGGGCAGAGACGCAGTTAGCTGAGGTGGTAGAGGTGGGGCTGGTTGGCATTGAGAAATGAGTGAGTAAGTCTGTAGGAGCAGGGAACAATATCTCCTGGATACTGAGCTGCTTTGTCCAGAGTTGACAGATCAGCTGTTTATGTTAATAATCATAACACTTCCCTTTGTCTGTATAATCAGTATTTTTCTAAATCTGTCTCTTTTGTGTGGTTTTCATTCTTAATAACTGCCAGAGTGTGATATGTTTGAGGAATTGAAAGAAGGGGAGAGTGTATGTTTTCAGTGGATGGTAGTATGTGGTCAGCCTGGAGAAGGGAACTGAGTAGTGTGGTTTAGAGCTTTAGAGGAGGACGCGTGTTGGTCCGCAGCCCTGCTCAGCTCTGCTGCTTACCAGCTGAGTGAGTAAATGATGGTAATCTCTTTGCCTTTTTGAGAGTCATTTCAACAGCCATGGTTTTAAAATGATGATGCAAAATTATTTACACTCAGACCGTGTGTTTTTTAAGAGGTGGTGTTTGACCTAACAGTGAATATGCACTTGCTGCTCACCAGAGTATGTGAGTTTCCGTCCCTGCTCTGACCCTGACTCTGGCTTCCTGATAATTACATATTCTGGGAGGCAACAGTGATGGCTCGAGTGGTTGGATGCTGCCATACCAGTGGGAGGCCTGAGTGAGTTTCTAGCCCTTAGCTTTGGCCTTGGCCCAGTCTTGGCTGCTACTGCCCTTTGAGGAGTGACTCAGACTCACCTTTTTTTTTTTTTTTTTTTTTTGCCTGACTCTCTTCCTCTCTAATAAAAATAGTACTTAATTTTTTTAAAAACCTAGAATAAGTGATGTAGAAATGGTAATGGTTGGCTTAGGAAGCTGGTGTCTTCTGTTTTCCATACCTCTAAGGGTGTTTACATCGATGAGAAACAGGTATGGAACAATAACAATAAATACACCTCCCTGTTCTAGACATGTTTACCTAAAGGCCACAAGGGCTGGGAATAAAGAAAACGGCAGAAGTTACAGCGTCTGCGCTGCAGAGAATGGCTAAAGATAGAGCCTGGGAGCCTGCTAGGTAACTATAGTCCCCATGCCAGTGCCCACCACAGGTTAGGTGCTTGATGGACAAGAGTCAATTGAGTGGATACTGAAAAGCTATATTTTAAACTGTATTTCCTTTTTCTTTTCCTTTCCAGTAAACCTAGGGTATACAAAGGTTGTACCCAAATATCTGAATGTTTTTGACAAAAATTGTTCTGAAAATTGACTGGATAAGCTAGGAGGAATCCTTCCCTTATACAAGTTGGTAGTGAAAATGCCAAGCTGTCTTCAGTCAGCTTGATACCGGTGAGGGCTGATTGTGGAGTGGGTTACTGCTGACAGAGCAGCTCAGCAGGTTGTACCAGTCATATTAGTCTATCATTCATTCTCCACTTCCTGATAGGAAAGCATCAGAAGGGCTGATGAGAAGTGGACAACAGGGAGCTCCCAGTTGGGTAAATAAACAGACCAAAAACCCAGGGGAGGAGGAAGAGAGAGAACTTAGTGTTGAAAGTGGTATGGAGAAACTTAGTCAAGGAAGATAGATTCCAGAATGTTTTGCAAGGGCAGTGGTGTGGAGAGAATGACTTATATAACACCAGGTTTGTGTAAGGTAATTGAAGCTGGGTGCTGCAGTGGAGTGTGTGTGTCTGAGCAGTCACAGTGGGGGTGGGGACAGCTCTGGGGTGAGCTGGGTGAGTGATGACCCTATTTGTCTTTCAGGGTTGGCAATGTTTGGTTGCACTGGGCATGTCCTTCCTGGACTGTGGGCACACGGTAAGCATCTCTAAAACCTTGCTGACTGAAGAGGCCACCAGTGGCTACACTAAGTAAACACTGGAGACTATGTCTGCTGAAGGTAGCCATCAGAGCCAGTGTGTTTCTATGGTTTACTGTGTGAACATAGCCAAAAGTATGTGCTGTTGCACAGGCTGCATTCAATGTTGCTTGGAAAGGACTCTTTCAAGTATGTTTGAAGACGTTTTTTTAATCTTCCTGACCTCCTAAATTGGGAATGCATCGAAAGGATCTTTGAGAAGTAGACTTAGCTGCTATATTCCAAACACTAAACTCTTTTTAAGTAGCTGCCCAAGGGCTCACTTGTGTTACTCTGCTGAGAGAGAATCCTCCATGTATGGTCTTAACCAGGGTAACTGTTTAAAAAGAACTTGGAGATGTGGTTGATTTTTTGTAGTGCAAACTACAGAATGGGTATGCAAATTTTGCCTATCTTGATAATGATTTTAAAAGGCTACATAATACTTTTTATGCATACTCTTACAACTATTTGAATCATTAGAAACTTGACCTGGAGTTGTTTCATGAAAGACACCTCTTTGGGGTTCAGAATTGTTTGTGTATGCTGTGAGACATTGAGAAAGTGTGATGAAGATGAAAAATGGAAAAGCGATCAAGCTCACTGTATGTGGTGGTTATGCATCGGCTCTGAGAGGTTTTTCTCAGAGATGGAAAGTTTATCAGGAGTCCTGATTTTGAAAACCTTTATACTAGTACAGAGCTTTCCCTGTCATCTCATATACATATGATTGTATACTTACCTGGCAGGAGAGAACATATGATTGTAAAACTGTCTTCCTTCTGTAAGGGGGGAGGGTGATAGAAAAAGATTGTATCATTAACGAACTGACAGGTTGTGAGATTTGAGGATTAGGGAAAGGGAAAGAAGAGCCAAGTGCTGTGTTCCCCAAAACCACCTCTGGCTAGAATCCTGTTTCTCTGATGCATCGCTGCTCTTTGTGCCCAAGGTGACTGGGCAGCTACTCAGGAGCAATGACTCTCACTGCGGCAGAGTTCTCCCACAGCCTTTTGAGCAAGTCCGTAGTATCACTGTGCTTGTGTTAAACTGTGTTAAACTGGACTGTCTCTAGAGCTGTTCCCTCAGAGGGAAAGACTTTAGGACCAGCTGGTGGAGCTGTGGAGTCAGAGGAAGTGTCTTCAGCTTGAAGCTGCTCTTCTTCAGCCACTTGAGACATTTTTACATGTGGAGCCGGAGCCGGTGTGATCACCTCAAATCAAATTTCTGGTGGAGTAATCAAGTCTTTTTATATCCAGTGATGTGGTGATAACAGTAGTGGAAATGACATTGAAGGACTTCTTATTTTTGAAGTTTTCCTCTGAATCTGGTCGATTAATGTTCTCTGTTCATCTGAAATCTTCGAAGCATTATTACTGGTATTTTGCACACAAAGAACAGACTGGATGGAGTCTTTCTGTAAAGCATTATGAGTGAGCTGTGTTTCCTGCCCATGCATTTTCCTTAGCCCTTCAGGTAATACAGCACAGAATCACAATAGCAATCCCCGACCTCCTCTTGCCTTCCGCCCTTCCTCTCCTGTCATCGTCCGAGGGAGGGCGCACAGGTACCCCGGGAAGGCACAGCCACTGGCATCTTGAACTCTCCCTTGGCTACAGTAGGGGAGACCAGACTGACAGACCGTTCTTTATGAAGATGGTACGATAATACTTCATTCACAAGTGTTTAGGATCCCAGGTTAAAAGCTGCTAGTATTCTTTTAAAAGTTATCTTTAAGACTTGGAATGATGAAAAGTTTCTTTCCAGTTAATGACATTTTATAATACTACATGTTTAGGATCTCACGGTGTTAAAAACACTCCCAAGTGTTACTGAGTTTGATCCTCACAGAGAAAAAGTGAACTTGAACACTGTGTCTGCTGTGAATGACGTGTAGAAGTGTGTCATCTAACGCAGCATGTGCAGTGTGTCTCGGCAGAGTGTGCTGAATGCTTAAGCATGTGCAGGTGTACTTCATGTAAATTGGTCCTTGTTCTCTCTGATTGTGATATGAAAACCTTGTGCTGTATACTCAATATTAGCAGGGCGGGGTAGAGCCTCAGCCTGGCTTCTGTGAGATCCTGTTTGTGCTGTTAGGAGTGGTTACTTAAGTAACCCCGTTTTACAATGTGTAAACATGATTTGTAATTAAAAACTTTTTCCAGTTTGGTTTTCTGATTATTTATTTAATGTTGAAAATACTTTAATACTTAACAACTGTGATACACAAACATTGAAACATAAATTACCACTTAGAAGTGTCCTAAACACTACTGTTCCCTTTAAACAGAGAGAAACAAATTTTAGTCTTCAGAAGGCTTGGATTAATTATGAATGTTGACACACTGATTCATCTTTCCCATTTAGTCAGTTTGCTGTAGCTACAGATCACTGCATTACCATGTTTAAACTGAAAAGTTTCAATATGCCATTCTTACATAAGCCGAATCCTTCTTGGTCTGTACTGTTGCTTCACTTGCGAAGCAGGCTGTTGCACTTTATGTATGATGCTAAAAGACTAGGATTTAAAGAAAGACGCCACACTGTTAAAGCTTAAAAATGAACAATTTGGCATCCTGATACCAAGTAGAAGTTCTCCCACTGTTTATTAAGAACAGAAACAAAGCTTAGAGCAAACTGCCGGCCCTGTCATAGACTGGTGGAGACCCTAAGTCACCAAGCGGTCTGTCCCACAGCCAGGCGTTCACTTTTCCTCTTCTGTTGCAAGCTTTCCCTGCCTGTGTTACAGGAGATGACTACTGTAAGTAACCCTGCAGAAGTAATTTGGCAAGAATCTTATCCATGTGTCCTTCCTTGGTTAGCTCTCTCCTGAGGTTTCAAACTGAATCGGAGGGCTTGACAGCTTGAGTTGGATGGGACAGGGGCACAGGTATTTGGTTCAGTGATTTAGAGACCGCTGGGATGACCACATTCGTCATTGCAGTGCGTGGGTTCAAGTGTGGGCTTTAGTCTGCATTCCAGCTCCTTGGGTATTGCTCACCGTGGGAGGCAGCAGCCGAGTGGCTCAAGTAATTGGATCTCTGCCACCTGCATGGGAAACCTGGATGGAATCTCAGGCTTCAAGCATTGGCAGACATTTGAGGAATGAATCAGCGTATGAGGAAACTCCCTTGTCTCTCTGCCTTTTTAATAAATAAACAGCAAATAATAAAAATCACTATTTGAAATCCTGTTTGGGGGCATTTTTTTTTAGCCCTGTTCTCTGAAATGCCTTCTGTTCCCTTTGCTGATAAAATCAGTAAGTCTGAGTCTGTCGGCCCCTTGGGCACCTCGGCTCACTCTCCCCGGTGTGCCGGTCCTGGCCTGAGCCATCGTCATTTAGTCCTCCTAAGAACAAGAGGATCGCCTTCCTGTAGACGAGACACCTGGAAGGCCTATGTCACGTTGACCATTTGAGCTGGAGCAGCTAAGCTCCTGATTCCAAGTTTTCCTTCCTAAACCAGCCTGTTTACTACAGCTTTCTTGCTAGATTAACACACCAAGCTCGGTTGGTTAGCAACAGAAGGAATGGTACCAGATGGAATCAGAGGCCTGAACATTTAGATTCGTACTAGGTTTTATGTCTTAGCTGCCAACTGGTAAGACTTTGATGTACAGCTGACGAAGATAACTGAATGCCTTGGTTTGGTGCATGGAGAATGAACAAGGCCCCTCCTAATACCCCAGCACGGTTAAGGACTCATAAGCATTACCCATCTGTCCCTGAATTTGAGGCTATTTCTGTGTCACTTAACCCCATTTCCAAAGTCTCAGAACAACAAGACAATCTACTCCAGTGAAGGAATTGTCTCAACTGAGTCATCTAGATAAAGCACTTCGTGGGTATCATGGGAGCAATAATTCAGTCCCAGCCCCCGCAGTTGATTCAGTGAGGATGCCTGCTGCCTTTGCTCATTTGGCAGAAGGCTGATGAATTGTCAGTGGGTCTGACAGTTCCTATTTCCCAGGCCAGAGGTGAAAGACAGTGAAGTGAACACACTAGAGCCTGAACTGTGTCTCTGCCTGAAGCCAGTGTGACTCAGTACTTTCCTGTTGGCCCACTAGTTGGAAGGCTTACCCTGGGCACTGTATGTGGTCCCTGTTAACAGTCATCAGATCAAGGTCTACTTCGTACTGTGTTTAAACATCTCATTTAAAAGATGGATGTGTGATAGTGCTTGGTATTTTTTAATTATCAATTATTTTGATTTTATAACTGGAGTAAGGCTACAGAGGGATGTATGACACGCTCAGGCCATAGGAAGTAGAGGTGAGACCTGAAACCAGCTTGGTACCTTTTAAGAAAATTTTATTTTTATTGGAAAGTCAGATTTACAGAGACGAGAGACAAAGATCTTCCAACCACTGGGTCACTCCCCAGATAGCCACAACAGCCAGAGCTGAGCCAGTCTGTAGCCAGGAGCTTCTTCCAGGTCTCCACATAGGTGCAGGGTCCCAAGGCTTTGGAACATCTACTGCTTTTCCAGGCCACAAACAGGGAGCTAGATAGGAGGTGGAACAGCTGGGACACAAACCGGTGCCCATGTGGGATCCTGGTGCTTGCAAGGGAGGATTAGCCAATTGAGCCGTCATCACGCTGGACCCAGCCTGATGCCTTTTCCACTACACTGTGGCATAGTTCCTTTCTATAGTCTTATCATTTGTATTCTGCACTAACTGGGCTTTTTGGCATCAAGGAATAGTAACATTCCTAAAGTTCTAAGTCGTAACAGTAGGGCAAAAATGATACTCAGTGATTGTCCCAGGAGGAGGGCATTTGGTGAAATGAAGGAACAGACACTGGGCTCAGAGATTATGACAGTCACATCCTGGGCTTGGCATTGTGTCGCGTCAGGTTAAGCCACCATTCGGAATGCTAACAATTAGACCAGAGGGCAGGTTCAAGGCGCAGCTGTCCACTTCCAATCCAGCTCCTTGCTCATGCACCTAAGAAGGCCCCTGCCACTCTGGGTGAGACCTGGCTAGAGTTTCTGGCTCCTGACTTCGTCCTGGCCCACATCTACCTGTTGCATCCATTAGAGGCGTGAGCCAGCAGATGGAAGGTCTCTCTGCTCTCTTGTTCTTTAAAAAAAGAAGAGAAAAGCGGGATGGGGGGAAGTCTGTATCCCATATCAGCGTAGCTGAATTCAGCTCCTGACTTTATTTCAATTCTAGCTTCCTGCTGCAGCTGTGCTGTTAGGTATCAAGTGATGACTCATTAATTGAGTCCCTGAAATGCACGTGAAAGACCTTCATTGAGTTGGGGTTCCTGGCTTTGGCCTCTTCTTGCCACCTCAGCTGTTTCGGGCTTTCGAGTAGTGAATCAGCAGAGACAAGATTTATGTGTGTCTGTATGTAGATACTTTTGGATGCCCACAAGCTATATCAGAGTACCCAGGTTTGAGTCCCCACTGCACTTCTAGTTCAGCTCTCTGCAGTGCACACCCTGGAGGTGACAGTCCGCAGCTCCAGGACTTGGGGTACTTCCAGACATGTGGGAGACCCAGACTGAGTTCCAGGTGCCTGGTTCCAGCCAAGACCAGTGGTGGTGGTGTTACAGGAATTTAGAGTGAATTAGCCTGTGGAAGATTTCAATCTATTACTCTGCCTGCTTTTCAGATTTCAAAAGTTAATTTGAAAAAAGCCATCTTTCAAAAAACTGTTCCGAGTCATTTTCAGGGGAAATAGAAAGTAGAGAAATGAATTCAATAATTTAAGAAGCTAACACAAACCACTTGAATTCACTTCTCCAGGACTTGGGTCTTGAAAGGTGTTTTAAAAGCAACTGAGATGTTGTTGAGAGCAGCAGTGCTTTAGCAAGAGGCTCTTTGGGTGCCAAAGGGTCATGGGACCGGGTATCTAGGACTCAGGACTTAAGAGCAACGGATGTTTGAGTTCTACTCTGCGTGGTTCTAAGACACGCTGTGTGTGTCTGCTGCTGTCATTCTTGTCTGAAGCACCCCGTGGTGAGGGAAGAACAGAGTGCTAATTTTGTGGAGGACCACCACTACCAAGTATTATCGTACGTTTCAGGAATCTCATGTCTTTACAAGGCATTTCTTTTCTGAGATAGTTTCCCAAAAAACGTGTAAGTTAATCTGCTACTTTCAAGAACTTCAGGATTTAAGTTCGGAGATGGGTCTAACCCCCTGTCCTCTTTCTGTCCGCAGTATCACCTGGGCTTGACTACCCGGCCTGAGCTCTACCTCCTGAATAGCCTGGATGCCGACTCACTCGTGTCAAGATGACCACCGCCCAACAGAGCAGATTAGAGCCTTTTCCCTAAGTCCGTTTTGTGCCAAGGGTCCTTTAACATATCTCTGTTAGTTCAGAGGTGAGTTTTGTTCAAAGTTTTGAACAAAAGACAAACATTTCCTCGCAGGAAGGGTGTTAAAAGCAGACAGCCTAAGTGTAGGTCAGAGACCACCCACCTCATATCAGTGCCACAGGCCAGTTAAGCGGTTGGCCTATTATGGCCACATACCCCTGTGGCCTTATGTCTTGACTTTTTTTTAAAAAAAATACATAGGTATATTTATTTATGTAAGCCTGAACATATCAGTTTGGGTAGAGTTTTTAAGGTTTTAGGAACCAGATCTTTTGTATTTTTTTAAGTATTTTCAGATAAATCAGATCCTTGTGTTTTTCTGGATCACAAATGAGAAGGGAAAGGTAATAATACTATTTCACAGATTGCCTTTTAGCTTGAATTTTGTCATGCCAGTTAAATTTCGTTTTGATTTTAACCAGATTATATCCGTGTAGTATCCGTTGACATCAGTACATTTATTTCCAATGAAAACATTTCTTCTGTTTGGCAATCATACTTAACCCTGGTTATCGACCTGACTGAATTACTATTGTACTATTATAGTTGCTGTTGCTTTTTTTTTTTTTTTAATTCTAGTCACCAAGCAGGGATGTAATGATGGAATTTGCCAAAGAGCTTAATGCACAATAACAAAGTCCAGGAACCACAGTTTCACCAGTGGTGAATTTTTCGTGCTGCGTTACAACTCGGCCCATTCTGACATTCAAGTTTCAGAAGGGAAAAAAAAAAAAAGAGCCTGTGACTTTTAAATTTTCTATGTCTTCACACCACAGGATAGTGGAAGCACTAATATTGTAGTGTTTGCTAACTTCCCATCCCCAGTGTCTTTTGTCTTT